CTGAGCTGTCAGCACAGAGCTCGATGTGGGGCTCAAACACAAACCCTGAGATCATGACTTGAGCCGAAGTCGGACGCTTAACCGACCAACTGAGGCATCCAGGTGCCCCTAGTGTTAGACTAGATCTGAACGGGGTCCTTGGACCAGCAGCATCAGTGTCACTTGGAAACCTATTAGCAAAGCAGATTTTTAGGCCCCACGCAGACCACTGAATTAGAAACTCCAGGTGAGGCCCAGCAGTCTGTGTTTAACAAGCCCTCCAGGTAGATCTGTTGCGCCAACATTAGAGAAGCACTATAATTAGATGATATTTGAGTTCGTGCTAACTTAGTAACAGTCACATGTGTCTGCTCACTGCCACGCCCTTGCACAGGAATCTCTGGGAATCACTATTCCCCAGTGCCCTCTCCTGGACTTTGTAGTCCCTCTTACTTGAAGTCTGTCTTCCACAGCCTCTGCATTTCCTGGCTTTAGTTTCTAGTGAGTTCTGTGGTATGTATGTCCATGTTTAGGACATTCTAGAAACAGCCTGGGCCGGAATTGCCCTCTACTGATGCAGGCAGTAGTGTTGTTCAGAAGGGAGGCGAGAAGCTGTGTCTGTGTGCATCTCACAAAATAGACTGATGCTCTCTAACTGCTTTGTTTTTATCTCATCTCCTGTTGACTTCACAATGTGGGTCAATTTGTGTGAACCTCTCTACTATTTTATGCATCTCTACGGATGCATAAATATAAGTATTTACGTGAACATATAATGTCTGCATATGTGGATAAACTCTCCTTACATATAATTTATTTATCCATCATTACACACCTGTGGTGTCTAGCTGATTCCTATGTCTTATTTTCTGCCGCTGTACCCATCTCTACTTGAATGTATATTAAATATTTTATTATAAAAATATACAAATACTGTGTTTACTTTGTGTTTTTTCCTCTCACTGGGGAGCCTTCTCCCCTCTGGGGTTTCAGTGTGGGACCAGCAGGTCTCCGGGCCCTTTGGAAGGCCCGGGCTTCTCTCTGACCTCTGCTCTAACTGCCTTCTCTGGCCAACTCTGTTGGAACAGAAGGTGTTGCCCGCTAGCCTGTGGCTGCAGGGACAAAGCAGAGGGGTGGACGACCATCTCTTACCCTCGAACTCCAGAGTTCCCATGTGAGTATTTTACTGCTGTGTCTTTCTAAGGACAGGATTGTGCTCATTTTCCTCGTCTCCTTTTTTTGAGTTTATTTATTTATTTATTTGAGAGAGATAGAGACAGTGAAAATGGGGGAGGGACAGACAGAGAGAATCCCAAGCAGACTCCGCACTGTCAGTGCAGAGCCTGACATGGCTTGAACCCACGAAGAAGCCGTGAGATCATGATCTGAGCTGAAACCGAGCATCAGATGTTTAACTGACTGAGCCACCCAGGCCAGGCACTTTTGAAGGGCTGTTACCTGTGCTTATTATTTACCCCATTTGCCCATCATGTGCTGATGCCACGCATGCCACCCTCCCATCTGTGCATAGGATGGGAAAGGCTCTACACTTGACTCTCTTGTGGGTTTTTTGTTTTGATTTTAATAATCTGATGCCAACCCTTGAATGTACCTTCCAGGGGTATCTGTCATCTTCCACGTCTAGTATGATCTTTTGTGTATCCCCCTCTCTAAGGGCTGTCTCTGTAATGACTTAATGCACAACTGCACTTCTGCCTCCTGCATTCCCATAAGCGCCCCCACCCACCCTCATCTGATTACTTCTTCCCTTTCTCGTATTCACTTTTTCTGTTCATTTTCTGACCTAAGAGGTGATTGCTAGCTCCTTAGTTTTCTGCCTCTGCCTTAATTTCTAAGTCATAGATTACTTTCAGGCTGAAAGCCTCCCTCTATCCATTTCTACTCATCATCATTCACTGGAAATTAATTTTTAAGGATTTGACTCACTGGTATTTAGACTCACCACCACCCCCACCCCCCGCCACCGTCCAGTTATGGAGTTTTGTCCTTCCCTTTTTGTGATCAGTTGTACTTAAACATTTTGGGTTTATTCACACTAGAAATTCCTTCTATAGTGCTTTTCAGGGAGGCACTATTTTTAAGATCTCTGGATACCAAAGTAGACTTATTCTATAGTATTTCCCTCATTGTTTCTTCTAACGATTTAATAGATTGCAGGCCAATTTCTTCTTTGTCATCAGTAACATAGTATTTTGTCTGGGTTTTAATTTCAAAAAATGTTTCTTCAATTTTTTTCTTCTTAATTGATTTTCCTAGAGGGACATGACTAGTTGTTTTACCCACTGTGTTTATAATTTAAATGGAGTTTCACAGCTCTGGGCCTCAGAGTGCAAATAGGAGTATGATAGAGAGGACTCCTCAAAGCACAGAGATTAAATCTCAAAGCTCTAAGATTTATTAAGCAAACTCAGGTTCAGGGTAAAGGGGTTCTGCAACCTAATTCCAATTGTGGGTTTTCCTCCCCCACACATCCAAGCAATTCTCAGACATCAGCTGGGTGTCCTACATTTCAGCTCCATTCTAACAATGCCTTCCTGGAGACAGCATCACAGGTTAAGGGATCAGTCCTACAAGACTCCCTCCCATCCCCTCATTTAAGATGCCAATTATAAGTCCAGGTTGTCACCTGGGCTTTGACCAACTGGCTATAGATTGGAGGCTCCAACAATCCTCCCCTCAGGTTCATTTAATTTGATAGAAAGGCTCACAGAATTCAAATAAATATTTTACTTACTGGATTACCAGTTCATTATAGAAGGATATAGCTCAAGAACAGCCAGATGGAAGAGATGCATAGGGCAAGGTATGGGGAAGGTCACAGAGCTTTCATTCTCTGAGTGCACCACTCTTCCCGAATCTCTACCAACCTGGAAGCTCTCTGGACTCCGTCTTTTTAGGGTTTTATGGAGGCTATTTACACAGGCATGATTGATTAAGTCATTGGCCACTGTCGATTGTTTCAACCTCCAACCCCTTTGGGTACGAGGATATAAGTAAGTTCACAGAGTCACATCATCATCTGACCTGCTGGTTTTTTGTTTTTTTTTTTTTTTTTACTGTTTATTTATTTTGACAGAAAGAGGAGAGAGAGAGAGAGAGAGAGAGAGAGAGAGAGAGAGAGAGAGAGAGAGGGAGGGAGAGAAGGAAAGCGCTCGTGTGAGCAGGGGAGGGGCAGAGAGAGGAAGAGATAATCCCAAGCAGGGGATTTTTAACTCATGCACAGTGAGATCATGACCTGAGTGAAATCAAGAGTTGGATGTTTAACCTACTGAGTCACCCAGGTGCCCCTCACCTGACCTGCTGTTATATTATGTTTGAATTATTATAGGTAACCTATCAGCCTGGGTCTCTTTTCACTGACTGTGTACACATATGTCTACACATAGGAATCAGGATCTTACCTCCAACCACCTCCCCCCACCAACACCCCAATCCTTTCTCTCAAGCTTTCATTCCCTCCATTTCATGTGTGCTCTTCCCAGCCCGATGCCTGACTTTGGTTCGTAATGAGTTGTTAACAAGCATTCCACATTCATGGATATGATACTCTTGGTGAGGTATGCCACCAGGACTGGAATAGAGCACTGGGCCAATCCTCCTTCCTGAACACCATCCAGTGGGGAAGGTGAATACTAACATGCAAACTTTGTTTTTTCACTCCTCCAGGTAAAGAGATATTGGAAGATATTCTGGAGTAGGGGTGTGAAGATTCAAGAGTAGTTTTGGAATATGTGCACTGTGATAGGTCTTGGAGGTGTCCTATGGGTGGGGCTTTGGAAGGTTCAGTTATCAGGAAATTGTGGATATTAAGGAAATCAGGAAAGAAAGATAATACAATTCAACAATTCAGGGTAAGCTCCCAGAGGGCTCTTTCTGGCTACTTAATACCCTGAAGCCAGGCCTTCACCTCCTATCAGGCTACAAGGCAGATGCCAACGAGATTCATATAGTGTCAGACCTATTCATGCCTATCCCTACAGCTAAGACTTTGGGGACAAAATATAAGGGGCACCAGAAAAGCTCAGTCATCAAGATAAATATTTTAAGGTGGTATCTTTGAAAATCAAAATTAATGCAAAAAAACATGATGAACAAAACTGTCAAATTATGCTTCCTCTTCACCCCTCATACCCCACCTCCCAACCACAACCCCGGTAAATTTATTCTAAGTGGCACCTGTCACCTAGCTTCCAATTTAAAAAAAACAACCCACAAAACAAAAAAACCCCAGGGATTTCTGGATCAAGCTGCAGTTCCTTACCACACTACTACTTCTACCACCAGGGGGTATTTTGCTCTTGGCCTCAAGTCCCAGCCTCCCTACCCACTAAAATCCAGGGGACACAAGACCAGAGCTCGGAGTTAGCCCAGCCAATCCTGCTCTCCTAAAAAATAGCCTTGGCGTTTCCTGTCCGTACTGGCGCACACTCCTACCTCCGGGGACCAACGCCAGTTGTCGCTCTTATCCCCGAGTCCCAACAAAGTATCACTCCACTGCTTCAAGTGCTCTGCCGTGACCGGCGCCCACCTGCGCCAATCCGGACCCTGGTTTCCGCTACGGGAAGGGCCCACGGGGCAGAGCCTTGGAAGGGTGACCCCAGTTCACCCGCGCCGCTGTCAGCGCGCAGTCTGGTCACCCGCCTCCGTAACAACTTGCGGGAAGCCAGGACCACATTTCCCAACATCCTCGGGCACTTCTGCGACTCTCTTGTGGTCTGCAATATCTCACTGCCCTTCGGAGAAGAAACGTGTGCACCTTGCGGTCTGGACATCTTAACAGTGGGCTCCTAAACTTCGTTGCAAGAGACGTGCGAAAGTCAGTCACCCTGCTGTTAGCCTGCCGACTCACCCACCACCTGTCTGTCTCAAAGACTACACCGCCCAGAAGCCCGTGCGGCCACTTCCGCCGTCCCTTCCGCTCCTCCTGTTGTTGAGTTGACGTAGCAGGAGCATTTCCGGTCTGTGGGATCCGCCGCTTGCTGGTTGGAGGTGGCGTCGGCCACCCCTTTCGAGATTTTCCCACACTTCTGCACTTCGTTCCCGAGCCTCAGCCTCAGGATCGGCAACGTGCACCCCGCGTTCTGTGAGTGCCCTATAATCACTGCCTCGTCCAGTCAGCACATCCCTCTGCTTGTCCCTCTTTTACTCTTGGGGTCACAGGTTGCCTCGTATTCGGGCGCTCTTCTGTAGGCACCTCCAGGCCATTATATTTTCATTCCAGCCCGTAAGGTTAGAGACGGACCCCCCCCCCCTCTGCTGCAGGGGGACATGGGCTCCACTCCCTGGCCAGAGCTTGGGGCTGAACTTGAGGGGGTGCTCGGTCACCCTAGAGCCTTTTCCCAGGGCTCTGGATGGGAATTGGGTTGTGCTGGTGATTTCTGTGACCCTCTTAACCCGCAGTTGTGGTCAATGTGGTCAACGGAGTCGACTCCCCAACCCCCCATTGACTCCTGGGGAGGAGCTTCTCCATAGGGTCATTTCTCTTCACCTCCCCAGATCTGTCTTCTGTGACTTTGCCCTTCTCCAGGGAGAGCATTCAGGAGATCAGGAAAATGGCCACGGGGCTCCTGAAAGCCAAAAAAGAGGTGAGAATTTTCATCAAATTCTGTGTTGGCTGCCAACAGCATGGCTCTGGCCCTTTCTCTTGCACTGCAGGCCGCCTTATATTGGGCAAAGTTCACTCCTGTTCCTGGAGGCAGGGTGGCTCATCTTACATGGAGTCCCCCTTCAGCATTCCTTTCTGTTCCTTCCATACCTCAGTCATCCTCGAAGTGGTCAGTTTTGAGCAACACACGTAGAACAGTTTAAATAAAAATACAGAAACGTCCACGCATAATTGTCCAGTGATGAGGATGAAGGGCAGGTACTGCAGAGATGCTTGTGACCTGAGGCGGTCAGGGAGGGCTTCCGGAAGAAGGAGGGCTGTCAGAAGCGCCCCTGAGGGTTTGGCAAGTTGGAGAGTTGGCAGAGCAGGGAGGAGAGCGGCAAGCATGATTAGTCTGAGGCTGGGCACACTGCCCCGGCCACAGTGTGGGAAGGTTGTAGTGGCTAATGGAATGATTTAAGGTTGATTTTTATGTGGTCGTGACGATACAAACGCATGGAACACAGAGAGGAGTTTGATGGTCTGACCTGAATTTTACATTGTGAGCATTTTCAGCAATCTGGCAAAGGGGAGATTTCACCCAAAATTCTAGATTGTCTGCTTCTCTTAAAATAAACTGCACTTACTCTTGTGTCAGGGAATTCACACGGAACAGTGGTCTTCATAGTTTGGACAGGTCCTGCTGAGTTTTTTTTGTTTGTTTGTTTGTTTGTTTTTCCTGGTGAGTTTATTTGCTGCACTTTCTACAGTATCTCCCAAACTGGGGTTGAAACCATTGACCAGCTAACATTTTACCTGCTTCTCTCATGTATATAACCTACCTAGCCCCTGGAGGATTTTCATTTTGCACCTCTGAGTCTGGGTGGCTAGGTTGAGTGCTAGACGGAGGAATGTAGACTCTGCCTTTGAGTAAGCTACGTTTTGAAGGATGTTGAGAAGGAATTTGACATAAGGAAATCCATGGCATGATGTATAGGGACTTAAGGGGAAACTTTCTAACTCCTGTCCGTGGTAGCCACGATGACCTTCCCTTAATTGAATGTGATTAGCATTTATCGAGCACCAACACAGTTACCAGGCTGGTTTTCTATGATTTTTGATATGCATTAACATGGTTATTTCAGATCTGCCTTGACTATCCTTATAAAAAAACATCAGGAAAATTTAAACAGAAAATGAGACTTTGATTTATTCTTAATCCTGGTCTTCTGTGGTAGAGATTTATGATTTCCTGTATGTTACCAGAACAACTTTGAGAGTTCTGTGTTTCTCATTTGTAAAATATTTCATTCACTTGAAAGTGTTAGTACTAAGAATGCATAATAAATCTGAGGACGTTGCCTAATGTAACATTGAATCTTTTGTGTGTATTTTCTTCACCTCTCGTAATGTTAATAGGAAAGCGTTCTAATTTCTGGGAAAAGCTGGACTTTGTGTGAGCTGATTTTTCCTGCCCCTAACACTTAAAAAAAAAAAGTATTAGGAAAAATCGATTAAAGGGTACAAGCATTTGAATGGCTAAGTTGTATAAGATGAAACCTCTGGGCTTAGAGGAGTACCTGACGCATATGAAATGTTTGGTGCATAGAGGAACCACAACTTTAAATAAATTTATTTGAAAGAACCAAGTAACAAAGGAGTTTCTGTTGTTTGTGTTAGTATGTTATTTGGGGTGCAGAATTAACCACGTGTTTCAGGGGGTTTGGGTAGATCATCAGGTACTCTGATATGCATGACAACTGAATTATGAAAACCAAGTTAAACAAATGTACAGTAGGATATTAGCTATGACTGCCAAGGACCTTTGCCTGAGAGAACAAATGAGAATATGTAACAAATGAGATGGGCTGGCAGGCACAGAGTGTTACTAATACTCAGCATTTTTTGATTTCGTTAAACAAATTACCTGAATGTCTGCTGTGTGCAGAATACTGGGTGGACAACATTCAGTAATGTGGAAAGACACAACCTGCACACTTATGAGTCTTCCATTTTGTTTTGGGATTCTGTTACCATTGGGATTTTGTTTAAATGTTTTTATTTCTGAGAGAGAGAGAGAGAGAGAGAGAGACAGCGTGAGCAGGGGAGGGTCAGAGAGAGAGGGAGATACAGAATCTGAAACAGGCTCCAGGCTCTGAGCTAGCTGTCAGCACAGAGCCCGACGTGGGGCTCAAACCCACGAACCATGAGATCATGACCTGAGCCAAAGCCGGCGCTTAACCGACTGAACCACCCAGGTGCCCCTGGGATTTTGTTTAATGTCGTGCGCGCGTGCATACACACACACACACACACATACATTTTGATAGACCTTAATGATAAAATCACTATATTAAACTAGTACTAGGGTGCCTGGGTGGCTCAGTCGGTTAAGCATCCGACTTCGGCTCAGGTCATGAACTTGCGGTTCGTGGGTTTGAGACCCTTCGGGCTCTGTGTTAACAGCTAGCTTGGAGCTTGGATCCCGTTTCAGATTCTGTGTCTCCCTCTCTTTCTCTGACCCTCCCCTGCTCACGCTGTCTCTCTCTCTCTCTCTCAGAAATAAATAAAACATTTTAAAAAATTAAGAAAAAAAAGCTAGTACAGTGTATCCAGATGATTTTTTTATAGGGGGAGGGTTAGGGCTACCAACACTTATCCCACTGAAAGTGATTTATATAATAGTGCATATAATAGTGAATAGATGAACCCATCCACTATTAACCAAGTTGGGGGAACATTTTTATTATATTTTTAAATTGCAGTATAGTTAACATACAGTGTTACATTAGTTTCAGGTGTACAATATAGAGATTCAGCAATTCCGTGCATCACCCAGTGCTCATCACCAGTGCAGTCCTTAATCTCCATCACCTAGTTTACCCATCACCTAGCCACCCACCTCCCCTCTGGTAACTACCAGTCTGTTCTCAGTAGTAAAGATTCTGTTTCTTGGTTTCTCTCTCTTTCCTTTGATTGTTTTGTTTCTTAAATTCCATATGAGTGAATCATATGTTTTTTTTGTCTTTCTCTGACTGACTTATTTTGCTTAGTTTTGTACTCTCTAGTTACATCCATGTTGTTGCAGATGGCAAGATTTCATTCTTTTTTATGGCTGAATGATATTCTATTATATACTTATACCACATCTTCTTTATCCATTCATCTGTGATGGATATTTGGGCTGCTTCCATTATTTGGCTCTTGTAAAAAATGCTGCTACAAACATAGGAGTGTATGTATTCCTTTGAATTTGTGTTTTCGGGGTTTTTTTTTGGGGGGGGATAATTACCCCGTAGTGAGATTATTGGGTGGCAGGGTAGTTCTATTTTTAACTTGAGGAACCTCCGTATTGTCTTCAGCAATAGCTGCGCCAGTTTGCATTCCCACCAACAATATAGGAGGGTTCTGTCCACTCTAGGGGGAACGTTTACTTTGTTCTATTGTAAATTTTGTTTCTGTGATCAATTTTGTGCATGGAATTCTTTTTATAGATTTATATTTATTCTCACAACAAGAATATGATATGGTAAATAGAAATGATTGTTTTGAAGCTGTGGGGACTCAACACAGGTTGGAGCTTTGGAACTTTGCCTATTCAAAAACTTTTGATACAATGGATTATTTCTTCCATTTTTGAGGCCCCCCCCTTCTTCCATCATGATGTCTGCTTTATGTTGTGCAGTTTTCTTGTTTTTGTTTTTATTGTTACAGTGTGTAATTTTCCATCCCCAGAGTAGACCTGCCAGTGCAGATCTGTTTCTATTCTCATGTGAATGTTCACAATGGTGTCCGGACTTGTTTCTGCATGTTGATATAGTCCTTTGCTACCACTGCATGTTTCTATAATTCTCATTTTCCCCAAACATTATGATAACATCAGTTTTCTGTTCAGAAGCCCTCTTTCAGTGGCTCATGACAGTGTCTTAGATATTCGGGACACCCTTCATTTCAAATGTGTAGTTCTTTTCTGACATTATGTTCTGACTATTAGTTCTGAAAGCATGTTTATTGCCAACACAGTGGAGTCATCATATATACCTTTAACTTAGATTAATTAATCTTTTAGGCGCTTGGCTGAAGCAAGGGAGAAAAATAACTGTTCCGGGCATTCCGATGGATCTGTCCTCTTCTCCAAGTAATGACTTCATGCTCCAGAGTGAGAGAAAAACGAGAGAACTGAATCTCTTCTTTGCCAAATCTAAGGAGTTTCTGACAGCATTAGCATCACAGCAAGTCAGGGATGATCTTAGTTGTAAAGTATTTTTCATCTAACATGATATTCCTTTATCAGTATATCAGTGAGCCTTTGCTGCGTAACAGACCGCCCCAAAGCTTATGGACTTAAAACAAAATAATTTATTCGCACACACTTTGCTAGGTCAGCATTTTGAACTGGGCACAGAAGGGTGCTTTGCAGGCTTCACCCGGGCTTGCCCATGATGCTGTAGTCAGCTGGTGGTTTGACTGGGGCTGGAGACCATCCATGCAGGACCGTTACCCTGCTAGTTGGTTAGGGTGCTCTGGCTCTTGTTTTTTCACCATGTGTCTATATTTCCTCTTCATCGTACTTACAAACTGCTTAGTTGCTTCTTTAGCTCTTCTCTTTGTATAGGGTATCATATGTAGCTAGGAGCATCCAACAGAAGCCTTTTACGGGGTTCCCAGAGATCTCTTTAGCCAGATCTGAAAGCCAGGAAGTATTTTTTTCGGTTTTCCAAACTAGCCCAGGTGACAGTTTTGCCAGCATGTAAAATGCATTCCCTTTCTCAAGCCACCATAGTGGTTTCCTCGCCACTTTTCTAGTCTCCACTAACAGTTTGTGTACTACTTTTCCAACTTTTGCTAATAACCTCTGTGGTTCCTCTTCCCAAAGCTAATGACCCGTGTTTTCGGTATTTGTTATGGCACTTCATTTCTATCTACTGATTGGACTTCAAAGAAAATCATTTATTAGCTCACAATTCTGTGGGTCGGCCATTAGGCTTGGCACAGCCGAGT